GCTCAGATCTCGCTCAGGAGAAAACGCGCGCTCGGGAACTGTTCGAACGCGTCAGTAAGCGGCTAGAAATGGATGAAACGAAAGCAAACGGACAGGCTCGATCCAAGGTCTCTCCCATCATCAGCGAAGACATGGATATGTATGTTGAGATTGCAAAGCTATGGCAAGACGAGAACTTGGATAAAACTGTCGCCGCGTTAGGAGAGGCGCTGAAGATTAGCAACTCGTCATCCAGCGTGGGCCAAGTGGACGTCCAGTTGTTAAACAACCTCGGTGTGCTGCGTCACCTTACAGAGCAATTGCCAGATGCAAGGATATTATACGAGAATGCCCTTATCAAGGCAGCTGGTCTTGGTCCCGACATCGGTGAGGGTATGTCAACATCCATCTTGTACAACCTTGCCCGAGTCTACGAGGACCAGGGAGAAGATGGATTGGCAAAGGATGCTTATGAAAAGTTGCTTTCACGACATCCGGAGTATGTTGATGGTAAACTCTCTTTCCAGCTTCTGTTTCATCATCAGTTTGACAAACCTTTCTAGCCAAAATACGGCGGGCTCAAATGCTCACTAATTTGCGACGCAACAATGACGCGCATGACCTTCTGAAACAGGCGCTAGCTTCGCAGAACAAAGACCTCAATGTCCGCGCATTCTATACCTATTTCCTAATTCAAAGTGGCTTGCCTAAGCTCGCAAAAGATTTCGTGTTCACAACCCTGAAGGATCACGACAAACACGATGTCTACTCACTTTGTGCGGCTGGTTGGATTATGTATCAGCAATCTCGAGAAAGTCGAGATGCTACATCCAAGGGTACCGACGACCGGCGCCGCGGATTCCAACGTTCTGCCGAATTCTATGAAAAGGCGTTGTCGTTGGATCCACTTTGTGCATTTGCAGCTCAAGGTCTGGCCATCGTCACAGCAGAAGATGCTCTCGGTACTCTAAGTGGCGGACAACCTTCGTCGAATACGGATGAAGCTCTGAAACGACTGCACAACTCTCGTGAGGCTCTGGATGTGTTCGGAAAGGTTCGAGAGTCACTGAACGACGGTAGCGTGTATTTCAATATGGGGCATTGCTATTATTCTCGTGATGAATATGACCGGGCGATTGAAAGTGTAAGTTTCGTTGTTCATCTACTAAGGGACGAGCTTATATTATCGGATCTAGTATGAAACAGCTTCTACACGCTTCTACCATGGTCAAAATGTATCGGTGCTTCTGTGTCTCTGCCGTTCATGGTACGCCAAGGCAACAAAAGATCAGTCGTATAAGGCGATGACTACGGCATTACATTATGCTCAAAAGGTCAGCATTCCACCGAGTATCTCTCTTTATCGCTTGCTAAGGTGTTCATATAGGCCTTGCACATACAACCCAATGACAAAGCCATTCTTTACAACATTGCCATGATTCAACAGAAATCAGCTGAGATGCTCTTTACCATTGACCCTTCAAAACGAACATTGAAAGACTTGCGTCACGTAATTAACCAGGCAGCTCATGCTCAGAAGTCAGTGTATATGTTGACCCGTGCAATGTCATTCTTATACTTGTTCACAGAATCTTTGGTTCTCTTGCTTCGGACAGATCAGAAAATGTCCCATATAGTCGCGATATTGCTGATCAAAGACGAAAGTACGGCGACAGCATGCTCCGGAAAGGCGATGAACATCTAGCCAACCAGAAGCAATACGAAGATCGTGCACAAGCTAAACTGTTTGATGCACGGCAGAAACGGCAAGAGGAGAGAGATCGGATGGAAGCACAACAGGTTGTTTCCTCGTTTTTCATAACATTTTATACTGACTGCGAGTAGCGCGAGAGGGCCGAGCGAGAACGTTTGGCGGCAGAAGAGCTGGCAGGTAAACGACGACTCGCTCGTGAGCAAGCTCAAGCCTGGTCCAGGGATCTGGTACGGATGGACAGCGATGACGAGAAGGAGAAGCGACCGAAGAAAGCAAGAAAGGCGAAGGGCGAGGGGGCTGCAGGTAGTGGCGATGAGGCAGAGCCTAAGAAAAAGCGGAGAGGGAAACTACGGAAAAACAATGAACCGGCTAATGGAGAGGGAGAGGGAGACGAACCTATGGCTACGTTCAGTGACGATGAGGAGGTAGAGAAACCTAAGAAGCGTCCATCGAAGAAACGAGTTGTGAGAGACGACGATGAAGAGGAGACGGCCGGCGGACCTCGGAAAAAGCAGTTGTACGTTTCTCTTTTCTGTCAATTCGGTAAGATTGCTTATGCTTTGTTCTCTTATAGTAAGAGCAAGGAGATGCTCTCGGATACTGACGACGAGGAGATGGATGTATCATGACGCTGCATATGTTTATTTTGTTGTCTGCTTATATCTGTATTATTCAACTTCCTGTTCTCGTTGTTGATTCTGCTTTTTGGCACTGCTGCACTGCGAAGTCTTACTTAGTCTACGTGAGGGATTACCATCCTATCACAGTTCCGTAGTATAGCCTACAGCATGGGGTTTTCTGTAACGTTGTACCCCGGACAGGGGTGTATTACGCAACTACGGAAGAACATGATCAAGTCTTCGTTGACTTCCTACTCTGACGACCCCGTAGATGCAGCCGTTCATTTGCAGGCGACTATAAACACTCTTCCTATCTTCTAAATTTCATTGGTGTGCGGTGGATTATGATGTCCAATCAAGGGCATACTAGAGTGACGTCGAGCGTCGACTCGCATTCGGTACATACGAACGACGAGGGGCGCTGCGATACCGTAGGGTCAGCCATGGCTCTTCGCAGTCCTATTGAACAAAACCGCAACCCTTTCTTTCACTGGTTAACGACATTGGGCTCAGGTATTATTCTCGACATTCGCGCCCGAGCACCCCATTTTGTTAGTGACTGGACCGATGCTTGGAATTATAGAGTTATCCCCGCTACAGCGTTGATATTTTTTGCCAAGTGCGTATTCCAATGTGGTCTGTCAATTGTGAAATGCTGACGGTGGTGTAGCGTTCTTCCTGGAATTGCTTTCTCTCTAGATCTTATAGAGACTACTGGACAGTATGGCGTCGCCGAGGTGCTCGTCTCGTCCTTCATGGCTGCATTCATTTTTTCCGTTTTCGGTGCTCAACCCCTCACGATTGCGGGTGTCACAGGCCCCATCACAGTGTTCAACAAGACTATTTATGACATTATAGAAAAACAGACCAACGCCCCGGTATACCTTCATTTCGTAGGATGGGTTTATCTGTGGGCAGCTATCATCCATTGGGTCACTGCGATTTTAAATTGTATGTCACCAATCAACTTCCGTCGACATCGCTTCTAACGCTGCATAGGGTGTAATTTCCTCAAATACGTTACCCTCTTTTCCTGCGATACCTTTGGTTTTTACGTCTCTTGGGTGTATCTCCAATATGGCATACAAGTCATCACGAGGCAGTTCAAGGATAGTACCTCGTCCTCTGTACAAGGGACCTTCGTCTCCATCATCCTTGCTATTCTCATGCTCGTGGTGTCATTCTTGTTCCAATCACTCTCCGGAACGACATTGTTCCATCGCCACGTTCGCCGTTTCTTAGCGGACTATGGCATGCCGATCTCTTTGGTTGCGACTTCTGCCATGGCATACTGGGGCAGGTTTAATTCTGCTAATCCGTTGACCCTACCCGTCAATGGCGCGTTCGAAGCCGCTAGCGGGAGGGAGTGGCTCGTTAAGTTCTGGCAGCTGGAGGGGAAATGGGTGGGCGTCGCGCTTCCATTCGGAATCGTGCTTTGGATCTTGTTCTTTTTTGACCACAATGTTTCGGTAAGACACTCATGCCATTTCATCTTACCTACATGACACCAATGTTGATTAGTCTCTTATGGCGCAAGGCTCTGAGTTTCCCCTTCGTAAACCTCCTGGCTTTCACTACGATTTCTTCCTGCTCGGAATCACGACGTTCATCGCTGGACTCATCGGCGTTCCGGCTCCGAATGGGTTGATACCTCAGGCTCCCATTCATACGACATCGCTGATAGTAATGGGACGGCCCGTCAAGAAGGCTGATGAGGAAGAACCTTACAACGAGAAGAACCAAGCATTTTCCAATGCCGCTGAAGTGCCTGTCGCCGTTGTGGAACAACGAGTGTCCAACCTTGCTCAGGGCTCCCTCTGTCTTGTTCTGCTCACTGGTCCGTTCCTTCATATATTGAACCTCATTCCTCGGGGCGTGCTCGCTGGACTCTTGTGAGCGTTCCACTTGTCCATGATGATCCATCTAATATGTGTAGCTGGTTCATGGGCGCAGACGCCCTTCGGGGAAACGGCATTACGCAGAAAATTCTGTACTTTTTCCGGGACAAGACTTTGACTTCTCAAAACGATCCTTTGTGCAAAGTCAGAAAATCGCGTATCCTCATGTTTGTTGCCATTCAACTAGGTGGTTTTGGGGCAACGTTTGCAATTACTCAAACGATAGGTGGGCTCTGGTCTATCTCTGTTTCTTCTCCTGTGCTAACCCCACCTAGCCGCCATCGGGTTTCCCGTGATTATCATGCTGCTCATTCCTCTGCGCACGCTGGTCATCCCACGATTACCATTTACAAGTGAAGAGCTAGCTATTTTGGATGGGCCAACGGCATCCCCGTTCGTGAGTCTTTCGTAGTCTTCAGACTCTCGTCGTGTCTGATTAAGTTGGTACAGACGATGGAGTCGGTTGGGGGCTCGCTCTGAACGTGACTGAATAGTTATGTTATATAGCAGAGTACCCTTCAAATCGTCTACAATACATCCAGTTCGCTTGCACAATTACAACTCAGTCACGATGGACAATGGACCACCAAGCCGGAAACTACCTGAAGCCCGTATAAGTCCATCTGGGGCACGTGCCTTGTCCAATTTGGGAAGCCCTCTATCGATCGATCATTTCAGGCGTTCAAAGCTCGCGTTTCTGTTATTCATACAGCCTCCATCTAAGTCTCTATGTTTCTTCGCTGTGTCGATATTCGCTATCTATTAATCTTTCCCTCCCAAATAACGTAAGGCGAGATGGCCGAGCGGTTAAGGCGTGTGACTCAAGTAATTGCGTAATCGTTACGTAATCAGCTTGCCCGATTCGGGTTTCTCATCATCGTATGATGGCAGGGGTTCGAATCCCCTTCTCGTCAGCTTTTGACTTTTTTTAGTGTTACTTGTAACTTGTTACTTCAAAGTTCAGTGTTCATAACAAGGACTCATGGAGGTTTATACGTTCGTTACTGAACAGTGAACCTTCCTCAGGAGGAACGGCTTTGCTAAAGATTACGTAATGTATACGTAAATCATTTGCCCGATTCGGGTTTCTCATCATCGTATGATGGCAGGGGTTCGAATCCCCTTTCTGTCAAGTTTTATTTCGTCGTACGGCTGGACGATTCACGAATCGGAATTTAATTTTCGGAAATCCCGGAAATTGATTATTGAATGGAATAATGAATCCCCTTCTTGTCAAATTTTCATTTTTTTGTGCCACTTGTAACAACGAGTCAACGACAAATGTAACTTCATTGTATCATAACTTATAAGTTATAACAAGGACACAACTTGAAGGTTTATCAGTTCAATTGAAAGCCCATTGCTACGTAGTGACGTTATGACTGCGCACGACACCTTCGTGGAGGGTTATGGCTGAACCCTTCCCAGGAGGAGTAGTTTTTCTGAGGTAAGTTGCTGTTATTTACCTCAGGCCTCAGCGGATCATCTCCAAAACAGACAAACTCTTGGCCCGATACTGGTAGGGGGAAGTGGCCTAAGTATATACGTCGGTGTGTATTATTTAAATAAATAGATTAGGGCAAGCTCGTCGGCTCAAAGAATGTAGTTTATCCGTTACGTGGGGAGGCTCATACAGTCGTCCTGTGGCTTATTCTTAGGGGAGAATAAGCTCAGATGAAGCACATGAATTACTATGACTGACGCTCGTTTGACCAATTTCGTAATTATCGTTGAATACCTCATTAGATATTGCGACAACTGACGCCGGTCTTTGCATTCCATCCGCTAGCCGTGTGCCTTCTGCTAATTGAGAGGTGATATCTCTTATCGTCGTGGTCGTGATGCTCATATCGGTTGAAGACATAGGTATCCCGCCCACTAATAATTCGGAACCGGGAATTCAGCACCATGTAAACGGTGTTTGCATATAGCTTGGGCATGAACGGGGCGGGTGTCGTGTAGAAGGTCTGATGAGGGAACACAAAAAAGAGGATAAGATTGAGCAAAGCAACAACAGCTACAAGCAGGTAGTTTCAATCTTCTGACAAGGGCGGATGGTGCGGATTAAATACCTGTCACAGTTCCCGTTTCGATAATGAGTCGAATTAGCTTTGTGATCAGCATTCGGGTGCGACGTAAACTGGTATTGTTGCGCATAAGCTATCGGAGAAGCTATCAGAGATAGTATCAACATTAATGAAGATGAATGAAGAGGAGAATGAGCTCACGTGGTAGGTCATGCAGATAGCGATGAGGATATCACATAGGGCGGACGTTCCGCACCAAATCTGGACATGATTCAGCATGATGAACTTGGGACTTCCAGTCAATCACACACCCCGACAGCGATGGACGTCTTCCGGTTGGTAAGTTTAGTGACGTTGCCTGCTTGGAAAGAGTAAATGCCTGTGATCATAGCTGCCACAGAACTGGTCAATGATACCTGTAAACAGATGAGCTAGACTGCTGGAGAGAAAGAGCACGGCAACGAACACAAATGACGAATATCGAGATGATTCATGACTTTGACAATATGAAGATTTGGTATGCATAGAAGACCTGCCCGACACAAGCAGCTGAACTCGTGATAAGTAACAGAAAATAAGTAGAAAACACTCCGCGCACCAACAGCGCTCATGATAGGGACAGTGAGCCAATTAAAACTCGTCCCAGTCAGGGCGTGTCGTGGGCAACGAGCATCGTCTGCACAAACTCGATGACATAGATGCCATAGACAAGATGTTTTGTGAATCGTCTATCGTTCGGAAAAGCGAGATAGTATAGATCTAACGAGAATGCAAGAATGCATTAGAAACAATCGGCAGGAGAACGACTCGGAGCGACGCACAGAGCTGTACAGAAAGGGTCCCGAAGAGTCCCCAGTTCAAGAGACAGGCTACGATCTAAATTCTGGTGTTACAGTCTGAATAGACACAATGTACAATTTGACAAACGAAAGGTCCGGACCTGAAATGAGATGATTCAGGAAACATAATTACTCGATTCCACGATTGCAACTTACAGTTCTTCTATCGGATAACCTGCGGGGACGGGCTGCATGATATGTCTGGGGCGGTCCTGAAGGGCTGTAGATATATACTAAACAGCCACGCGGGAGACTTTAAAGAAGACGCTCGGATTCCTAAGACCGGTCAGTATCATATCGCTTCAACTGGGCTGAGTCCAACTACTCCACTCTCAACATGTTCATCAGTGGTCAGCGCATCAACTCATCAAATTAATTATGATGATTCTGTTCCACAGGCTCAGAAGAAAACTCTAAACCAAGTAATAGCAGAAGAGATGCTGGTGGTGCATCGATACTGTGGGAATAAACTATGAGAAGAAAGAAGGAATATGAAGGTCATACTTAGTGGATTTATGACTCACCAAGCTATTGTGGCGGTGTCGACCTTCTTCGTGCATCGAAATCAGATTCTTATGCCACAAAATTTCCCGGAATCTAAGAAATATTCCTGATCTTTCATATCATCTGGTCATTCTGTTGGTACGAAGAAATCACACGAACGTGTCGTCGATGTGTACCATGCTCTCTTTGCCAACCATTTGTGGGTGATGTCTCCCAACGAGCCTCCCCCTCGATACTCATACTCCTCAGAGAACGATCCAGGAGACGTAGAACCGGGTCAGAGAGCGCTCAGCACTAATGCATCATTATCAAAATCGTCGACGGATCAAGCCTTGTGTCGCCATGGAGTGTCGGTCACAGCTGTTCCAAATCCAGACTGCGCCTCTTCCACGACCTCTACATTGGTTTGCATCTCCCGCTCAAGCTCTGGTCTGAGCGCGGCGCCATAGGAGCACCCTATTACTGTCGAGTGAGAAAAGAGGGAAGACCGGCACTTTGCCACCTGGGAATCTTTTTGATAACTCCCGTGATAGTAACTGATCGGAGAACGTATTCGCAACGGAGAGTAGTGTGCGAAGGGTTGTTGCTGTACCACTGATGCATGTCAATGACATGCGAGTCGCAGGTTCCAAGGACATCTTTGGGTGGTCCGATCTCCTAGGTCCCTTTCTCTCTGCGATCCGTGATATCCGGTTCCATGTTCGCAGATGGAGCGTTGAAATGTGTGGATGTACGTTGAAAACGCCGCGAAACTGAATGAGCAGTGCGAGATCATCACATTTCGGAAAGTATCAAGGGAAGATCCATTGATTTTCAGAAGGTCGTCGTCGTCAGAAAGGGACTCTAGATCCAACGTCTTGACGGGCGACTCCTTCAAACGGTATGATCTCGCTCGTCCTCGCAATTCAACAATCACGAATTCGGTTGATACATGCTGATTGTCTTACACCTGAGTTTGCAGAGATCCTCGAAGAAAGCGACATGCATCTTTGTGGGCAACTTTAGCTAATCCATATGTTCAAAGGAAACAGACAACTTGCCTAAAAACAAGCCCATACGCTTGAGCGGGGAGAGATCGTTTAACTTTGACCTATCTCATCTTCTTGTGAAAGCTATTAGAGGACTTGCAGTGGATGATGGACAGAGACGGCCTGTAAATGAACAACAGGCGAAACATCCGGAAAGAGGTAAAGGGCCAACACTGAGATGCACGGAGACCTACAGATTAGCATGACACCAGCTAGATCTAGTAGACCGACTTCGAACAGCTCAGAGAGATCGATAAACCTCGGCAGACCATTCGATGAGGGCGCCCATGGAAACAGGAGGGCAGGAGGGTGCAAACCACCGGTTTATTGAACCACCCATTGTCCTTCTTAGCCCTACGGATCACGAGAAGTCCTGTATCTCATTCCAAAGCAAGGCCTCGGAGACTTCAAGCACAGCCTTTATTGACTACGAGTGACCGTCCAACGTCCGCGAGGTGATATGTAGGACATCGCATGATTATGTAGGTCCATTCGGACATAGAGTCACAATGGAGAGTCTTGATATTGGATGGTGGATGCTATGGATAGCGAGTTCACCAAACGCATAGTCAACAAGGAGCGCCGGGACAGATGATAGTCAAATGGTCTCGCTCTGTCCAAGTACTTCGGAGTCTTGATCCTCGGACAGTCCACCTCGCCCGCACTTTTGATGGGGTATCATCATCAGGAGATACTCATGATAGGCATTTGACAGTCAGGCCAGTGGGATTCAATAGGGAAATCGCAGAAAATCAAAGTCAAAGTCTACTCACTCATTCTCGCATCGCCGACACAAACAAGTGAAAAACCAATCTCTAGCCAGCTCCTCGCGGCGCTTCTCGACGGGATCGCCCGCATCTATATAGCTGATGCACAACTCCTCTCCAGCCTCGATATCCCGGGCGGCAAAAAAGTGCATCGAGCGTCCTTCCCGTTGCTTGCGGACATTAGGAGAACAATCTGCAGATGATGTAAGTAAGTCAACAGAGTTCAAGACTAAGCACTTACCATGGTTGAAATACGATGCCTTAATGTACATCGCGAATCCTAGCATCTCGCTATCCCCCGACGTGGACATATCGTACAGTCCAAAGGCATTCCCCTGGTCGCGCCCAAGGATAGCGCGTACAGTATCCACTGTCACATATGCATAAAAATCTGGCACTGCTTGCGCCGCTTTGCGGAGGAACGCATACACCCGTATTTGAGAGTCAAGATCCTGTGGGCGGCCACGGATGTACTCGAGCTCGTTATCCTGTAGCTGTATAAAATCCTCCCATTCACCCCCGCCCGTGTATCGCACCATGATGACAGACGCGAGAAATCGCACGGTATCAAGCTCTAGCTGCGTCAGAGGCTCCAAGTCGAATGTGGATGCCGCCCAAGCAGCGTCGAGATCTTTCTTGCTGGTAATCTTCTTCCTGGAGCAGGGTTCCTTTGCTTCACCCTTGAGCGATCTCGCCAGTCTATCCACCGCCGCGTGCATGTTCCCCAGTAAACCATCTCCATCCTGCCA